CAACGGCCTGAGCACGCGCTTCACCCTGCACTCGCCGCCGCGCGCCGCCGCCGCTCGCGGCCCTGTGCCACGCGCTGGTGCACCCTTTGGGCGTGCTAGTCACGGCAGACGTGCTGGTGGACAACGCCGGCACTCCGTTCCACATCCGTCTGTGCGCCAACGACGGCGCGTACACCCGCTTGTGCAACCAGCGCTCCCTGGAAGCCCTGCTCGCGGCGCAGGCAAACGGTAGCAACACGTAGGCGTGGCACCCCGCCCCACACCGCGCAGCCCCGCGCCCGCCAGCTCCGGGCACGCGCACTGCGAGCTGCCCGCACGCGCCATCTAGCACGTTGCACTCCTCGCGACAGGGATCGAGCGATACAGTTGTACGGGATGTCGATCGAGGAAGACAACAACGCGGAGGCGGTAGAAAAACTTGCGGTGTTGCAGCGGGACAGATCGGATGGCAGTACGCGGGACGAAGGGTGAGTGAGAGCAGTGGAAGGGGGGGCGGGATGAAAACGCAGCGCCGGCCACCACCGCCATGCCGCCAAGGGAGCCCTCCTCCGTAGATGCCTCGAAATGGTAGCGCGATCGGAACTTGGTCCGCCTGCTCACGTCGCTGTACGCAGCCCAGGGGCCCACGAAATTGTACTCTCAGGGCATAACGAGATAACACGTGTAAACATTATCATAATATATACATTCTGACATAAAAACTGACCTCACACATCACCAGTATCTTACAGTGCTACTCAGTCTGTTGTCCAGTGTCAAATTTATTTGGCCACGTGTAAATTTGCCCGTCCAGGTGGGACTTGCTCAGGAGGCGAATGGAGTCCGCATGCTCACGTTCGACGCTGCCCGACGCACTTGAATACTGCTAGCGCTCGTCATCTTCCTTCTCCGCCTCTTCGCCGAACTTATATAGGAGTAAAATGCCCTCGGCATGCGACTATCAAAAAAAAGAGCCAGCTCGAGGGATGCGGCCGGCGCAGATCAAACTGTTTCTATGTAGCCGCAGTCGTTTGAGTACACGTGTATACGTGGAAACGCATATGTGTACATGCACTCGCGGATGATGAACATGACCCATGCACGCGCGGGCGATGAACATAATGATCCATTTCATCGAGCACGAGCAGCAGCGTCTCCAGCCTCACGGCAGGGACGGCCATGCCTTACAAAGGTACTGCAGCCGTCCACTTTGGCTCGTCGTTCATGCAGACAGACGTCACGGCCGCGCTGCCCGTGCCTGGGACGTCGATAAGGTGTGCGGCTGCGGAACATCTCACGCGGCTCGCAGCCGTCCCTGATACTATCCCTTCTGCAGTTCTTGACGATATCATCAACGAAGCTCTAGCTCAATCAACCGCGAAGTCAAGATCACCTTTATGGTGTGATGTCTGTAAGAAGAAGAGAAGGCCGAAGTCAACTGTGAGGGGTCTTGGAGAGACACTGGATGCAAGCGAGTGGCCGGTCATGCAGGGAGTTTAGGGGATTCGTAGAAGCTCCAATGCACTGTATACGCATTCGAATCGTCATTACAAACTGGCAGCTTGCTCTGCAGGAACGGTTTAACGGCACTAGCAAAGTCCTTGGTCTCAGCTTGCGCCTCCGTTGATGGACAATACCGCCAGCGCAGCCGATGCAGTATGCTCACCGGAAGACACCCACGTCGCCTCGGACCAACTCCAACATTATTTAGATGTACTTCAACGTGCAAAAGCATCCGTAAGGCTTGCCGTGTAGCCGTACAGCTTCGATCTTCAGACCAGAGAAATCTGCACTCGTATCGTCAGAAAATGTCTCATGGGCTACTCTCCGCGACCACGCCGTTGACATGTCCTCAGAAGGAGTCCATTCCTCGGCCATACCGAGTCTGAGAGCGTGTTGACGCCGGACGCGGCCGGCGCAAGGCGAAACGTCTCGCACTTCCTCCTTGTCCGCGCTCGTGTTAGAAATCCGTGTATCTCAGGCCAACGACCACCGATTCCGAAGGTGTTTGACTTCCGAGGTCCCTCAGGATATCCCTTGTCCCAAACACGCCAACGAAATCCGCATACGCCCCTATTTTTCTGCCACGGACAGTCAACGGTACGTCGTCCTTGAACAGGACGGCGGGCACAGAGGACAGTGCTCGTCGTTAGGAACGGCCCTGAGAACGAAGGTGCATGGCTGGACGCCCTAGTTCAATTAAAAATATGGGTCAAAGTGCAGATTTGGGGGCGCCACCCGGCCGAAGTGAAATGTACGTGGGGCGATTTCAATGTGGTGGGGGTTTTTATAGGACGACACTACTAGAAAGTGCTCTGCTAGTAGGGTGATTTTGGTCTTTGGTGTCCTCTGCATGGGGTGACAATGTCCGTTTTCTAGGGTGACAGAAAAACGATCGTAAAGTCACCTCCGACAAACCCATATTCGGGGATGCCACCCCATAAAAACGTATACTATCGTGGCCATTTCGGCAGAGACCTAAATGTTAGAAAAGTCGCCCTAGACGCACATGATTGTTTTAATGTCACCCCTATAAAAGCACGCCAATGCACTGTTTCGCGCTGGATAAAGCGCTCTCAAAACTAAAACAATATAGTGTGGCTATAGAGGCCGGCCAGTACCCACCACAGTGGCATACGGTGACGCGCGGTCACGCAGCGTTCGTTCTGCCTTCTGAACCCGCCACTTTTCGGCGTCTACGTTCCCCAGCTCCCCCCCCGGCACATCTCGCCGCAATGCCCTCACCCGCCTTCTTCATCGCCTTGCTCTGCACCTTGCCTCTAGCATGGGGCACCGCGGCCACGTCTCCAAGTGACCCGGAACCCAGTCGCACCAAAGAGACCGGCGCCCATCTCACGCGTGTCCACTCAGAACGGAAGTTTGTGCAGATCTCCAGGGAGGTGCAACATTCCTAGTATTCTTGGACACCATGAGCTGGGGGATTGACAGGGTGATGATTGGTAATGGCCGACAAGGGGCAAGCGGTCACAAATGCAAGACGGCGTTTTGTACGCTGCCGCCAAATTGACAGGCGGTGACGAAAGTTTCTGGCCTATCGATGCCAATTCGATTACACTATCCCTTCACACGATGTAGGCTCTATTCAACGCGATAGATGACGGTACCAACGACTTGCCGCGCAAGAAAAAGTTTTTGCAAGAGATGTTCCGTCGACTGTATGCGTGGATGATGGCCCATCGCGGTGTGCCGATACTCATCGGTGGTATTGGGGCACGCAGACAAATCACTGGATCAAGAAGGTTTGAGGTGCATCAGTATGTCCCAAACCTCGTGCGCAGCAACGACGATTCATGCGTGTCGGCTGCGCTGTCCAACGGCACTTGTGCGCTATATGGTACCACAGGAGGAACAAGCATCGACAAGTACCTTCGGAAGCATCCGATGAAGATCAAAACACTCAAGCAACTCTTTTCTCTGGTTCACCAAATTCCCGCTCAACTATCAGTGCGCCGAGTTCCTAAAGCTGAGAAGAAGGCGTTCGATGCAAATCCTTTCAAGTGGCTTGCGCACCATAATCAAGGCGTGTGAATGGTCCGAATAGTGGAACACGGAATTGTAGATCATTGCGTTGCACTGGACTGCAACCGTGGTATTGTCCATGATAGCGCTTCAAGGTATCCGTCCGCATTAACCGAAGATGTGCTTCGTCTCCTTGGCGGAGATGAAGCAAAGAATTTGCCTGTGGCTGAAGTGAGGGAGCTACTTAAAGTCCCTGTAAATTCCAAGAAGCCCTCACGCTGCTCGTGTTCATCCCCCGCCCCTTTCGCTCCTTCTTCGCCAGCTTGAAGTACTCGGGCGTCGAGCAGGGGAGGCTACATGCGTGGGTGCGCAAGTTGGAAGAGAGGGAGAGAAGGGTCGGCCAGGCGGAGGAAGCAGAGAAGGACCGCGTTGCCGAACGGGTTGCTACCGTCGCGAGGAGGGAGCTGCTCATGGCGGAGAAGGAAAGGCGCTTGGACGCGTCGATGCAGGAGAGGGAAATGGCTTTGGAAAGGAGGGAAGACGTGGTCAACAGGTTGACAGAGGGCGCAGAAAGGGAACGCGCAGAGACTATGCTCGCCATCGAGACGGAGAAGACCAGGTTTTGGGCACATCAGCAGAAGCTTAGCGCCGTCGTTGCTACCAAGACTCAGGTATTGATTGGAGAGCAGGGCAGCCTCCGGGACGAGCTTGAGGCGGAGGCGGAGGCCGCGAAGAAGACTTTGAGGGAGATGAGTGAGACTGTTGTTGCCATGGTATGAGCTCTTCTGCTACATTAACAGAATGGTAGCTCAACCTTATACCAAGTAACAAGAGTTCGATCCTCGAAACGTCGATCCTCCTGGGTCCAGTACTCACTACCATACGTATTTCGGAAATCGGTGTACGTCGAAACCCGTGAAAGTGAGGTGCTTCCTACCGGTTTCGTTCATGAGCTGAAGTCGTAGTTGGGATCAGTGAGGAACCCATCGGGGGATGGGTTGGATTTCACAACCCCGGTGAGCCCAGATCCGCCGACGATGCCTTTTGGTAACTACGCCCCGCCAACCTCGTGAACAGCTAATACGAGCGCTGTTACACCTCCACCACCATTCTGAAGGCAGAAGAACAAATCTGAGCATGTCCCAGTACAATTCCAGCTTGATGATGTGAAATAGTTTGCACTCGCGGGTCCAAGACTGGTCTGACCACAAACCCAGGGCTGAACGTCATCGTCTCCGAGTGCTGTGACTTCGATGTCAATAATTTTATAGCAAACATTGAAGCATGAACATCCAGCTCCTGGAAACCATTCCCCCCGTGGAGAAAGGGTTTGGCCTGAAGAGCAAGAGGAGAGGCACCCCGTTTGGTCCCGCTGACAAGGAGAGAGACCCGCCGCGACCGCCTTTTTTTACCTGCTTGCGTCAATTTTCCTTTTCGCTTTTCGTCCGCTTGTTCATGACATCCTACGTTGTATAGTATGTCCGTGCTAGAGCAGGACGATTCTTGTCGCCATGACAAATGATGCGTCGCTATCAAGCATCTGGGCAAGTCTCTCGCTATTTAATGCGCATATTGCCGCATTCGCGTCACCGCCTTCTCGAGTTCTATACAGCGCCACCTCATCTCGACCTCATCACTTGCTTGTCTACTTTCAAAATTTTGTTTGGCGGTCGTGTCAAGGACTCTGTCTTTTTCAGCCTCGCATTGGACAAATTAACCTCATGCACCTCGGATGCGTCGCCCAACTGTACCAGATTGATCGTTTTTCACCCGGGCATGCCTGATTGTTTTCGTGCACAGCCTCTGCTGCCGCGCCTGCAGCAGCCCACGTCTTCCGTGTCGCAACCAAAACGCGTCGCGGCACCTCATTTTCCAAGAGCCGCGCCAAACACCGTTCCAATACCTAGATTTTGAATGTGATCGTACGACTTGCCGTGTGTTTTGTGCGTTGTGGTCGCTCTAATTCTCTCTAGTTTTGGTAAAAGGTTCTTCAACCTTTTGTCGTACCGCTCAAAAAATAACTCGCGTGCACTCGTCCCGCGCACTCGTTGACACCATTTTGACTCTCCATTTTGCAAACGCGACCATCGGCTCTATTCAGAGTAGGCTTGGTAGTAGAGAGTATCTATTCAGAGTAGGCTTGGTAGTAGAGAGTAAAGTAACAGAGAAAAAGGGCCTCTGAGACTACGTCACGAATCTGAAATGTTTGATAATGTAACCAAGGACCTGAGTTACTACCAAGTAGGGATGTATGCATGAATAGGGCTAGCGACACGGCGCCGACGGGGCACACGCTGAGGTTCCTCGCGTTCCCGGACTTTTTGGACAAGTTCTTGACGCAAGCCCTTGCGCTGAGGGGGAGACTGAATAGTGCAAAGGGGCTGATTGGGAACGTGACCAATGATGTTTCGTGGCCTGTTTGGTTAGCACGACATGCATGTCGTGCGAGCGACAACTAGGTAAACTTTATCCTCTGTGATGGCATTTTGGAAGCGGATGCAACGCAAAATACGACTAGAACAGTCGCAGGCGTCAGACGTTCTGGAGTGATTGTGAAATTTAGATTCGAGAGAAGGATGAGAATCAATGATTAGAGTGTTTCGAAAGGGTAACGTGTTGTCAGTGCGGTCCTTGGCGCGGTCCGTGGTGTGTTCTCATATGTACAGTACAGCTGGAGCATGACGGGCGTGTTGAAAAACATCCGATACACGAAGAAAACGTTTGCTCGGTTACAATTTCCCCCAATCTTCTAAATGGTTGCCTACGTATTGTAATTGGGTTTACAAAGGGCCCGCCTTATCAACACACTTCTTCATATAATCCTTTGAACAGAACAGCCATGCTTTGTTCAAATCAGAGCACGGAGTTTTGATATAGTCTTGTAAAGCTTTTTTAAAAATGCTCAATAGGGTTGAATGTTCTCTTTGGTCATGTGGTAGTGCACAGCTAGAATAAATTGGATGATTGCGTTCAATCAGCTTTGCGCGCAAGGATCTTGTGACACTGCACAGTATTGCGGAAAATCGACATTTCGATCTACATAAGGAAGAGAACGTCGCCATGGTACTTACGATTTTGCAACACTCGAACCAGATAAGGTCACCACCATTAGATATATACATTACCCAAGGGTACTGAATATCTCTGCCAACTGCAATGCATACTGTGCATACGAAACCCATACCCCTGTTGTTATGAATATCGACTCTAGAAGTAGAGAAGGGCGTTGACGGTGATTCGTGGATTATACTATGG